TCATTTCTATATAGATTCCTAGATACCGTATTGATTAGTGTTGCACAAGCACCTGCGTAAATGGGTCCTTGTTCAAGACTGATGGAAATATTTTTCTCTGTAAAAAGTCTCCTGTTAACAGGAGAGGGCCATAAATCCAGCCCCGTTTAATGCAGTCAGGGCTACAGTGATGTTTATATTGTATAACCAGTCGCCACAGTCCATTAGGAAGGAACCTTCCTGCAAACAGAGACATGAACAAACACACAAGTCAGAAGAGTGGCCTAGCACTATTGCAGCTCTACGTACTGGTTAATGACCCTTTTCCTCTACTTTTTATGGCATCCTTTCATTTGGCACTTTCACTGGTTGAGGTCTGCATCAGACTGCGTCGATAATCATCTGTTTATGCTACAGCTGAGCAGCGTGTTGAGATTCATCCTGTTCACATACAGCTCAGCTCACGTTGCTGTTTATGCCATGCTGCACTGGCTCAACGTCTTGCGTGCTCAAAATTTGCCCTGACAGTAAGTCAAAAGACTAAATCCACTAAATGAGGTATTATTACTGACGTGTATAATCTGCTAAAGATACCGTATGCATCTCCCATTGCTAGAGCTTCAGTTATAGTTTGCCCCAACAAGACATTCCCCAAAAGACCCTGGTTATCCTCCAGGCAGGAAGAGTTCTTGTGCAGCACACAGGGAAGTCAAAAGAGCCACCTCCAACCACATCACAAGATTTATGCCATTTGAAACAGCAGGAGGAAGGAGAGAACACGGGAAACAGCATCTCTTCTCAAAGAGATAAGAACTAAATGGGTTAAGAAAAAATACTTCTCTATAGGTTTTGTAAGCCTATAGGTTTTGTAAGAATGCCATTGAAAAGCATTCTGTCTAACATTTCTCAATATTAATGGCCACCCTTGTACTCATCTTTCTGGTTTCGCTCTAAAACTATATTTAAGACTCTGAAAAGCATCTTTTCTTTTTATTTTTTTTCCATTGCCTCATCTTCTTTATCTCTATTTGCTTTAGTAAATCACTATAACTATTACAAAGTATTAAAAGCCCAGCTGTACTGCTTGCATTTCAATTGTTTTAGGCATTATTCCCTCCATGTCACAGTGATTTCAGTTCATGTTCTGCCAAGTCATATTTCGTTACCTCTTTTCTCTTCCCAGTAAATACCTGAATATCTCATCAAAATAATTAGAACCCTTTTCAATATGAGGCTTCAATCATCCATCTTGTTTGAACACTAAGAAGTTTGTTCCAGACTTCACCGCTGTACTTGCTGTCCTGATTCTTCTGGCAAAATTTAGCAAGTGTTAACCCCTCATAGTGTGTACAGGATTGCTTTCTTATTCGATTTGCCTTGTTTGTAATTGCTGTATTTTCTGTGGTTATTTATTTCACTTCCTTTTGATTGATGAAAACCCCATCTGAGGCTACCTTTAAAATGGGGCAAGGTAATTCATGATCCAACAGCTATGGAGACTGTATCTGGTTCTATCTGGTTTTATCTGGTTCCACTTACATTCTGAAACCATCATAATTGTGACAATTTACATTATTTCTATTTTTAATATATTTCTCAAACTTTGGTGGAGTTAGAGACAAACATCTGTGCCACTTGGAAGACCTACTTCACTAAAATTACAACAAATTCAAATCCAAAGGAAGAATCACAGCAGGGAGCCTTCATATGTCACACACACCTAAACTTCACCCTCACTCTCACCCACTCTCCCAGCCCTTCCCAAGCCTGGAAAGTACCCCGGTTGCTTCACAGTCACAATTTTGGAATGCTTATTCAGTGCTTATTCATATGATACTAAACAGAGCAGCACAAAACAGCTGGTCCGTAACCAAGGACACAGCAAAAGTTATGTCTGGCATCAGTCTGCATGAGAGTTTTGTAATTTTTTTTTTTTTTAAATAATGACTCACCATAGACTTATGGATTTGAAACACTTTACACGGAGCAGGAAAATCGCTGTATAACAACTCACCTGGCAAAGCTGTGAAAGTTCAATGCCATATCTCAGTCTTAAAGGATCTTTCTTTAAAATATCATAGAAAAACATTAATATTGCTATAAAATAAGACTCTGTGCTTCTATGGCAGTTTCCACCTGAGAATTCCAGAATACATTACAGACCTTAACACAATATTGTGCCTCTCTCAAATCTCCTGGGAAGTATAAAGTAAAACAGGCCCCTAGAAATCAGCACACCAGATCTGGCCAGGGTTTCACTTAATCCAGCACCCTGCCTCCAATAGACAAGAATAAAATGGTAAATATAGCATGTCAACTTATTAAACCCTACCATGCTGGCCCCCAAAGACAGCTGAGCACACATGAAAACAGTAATCTTGGAGCCTGCTGACTCCAATTCAGGAAAGAAGGGTAATTATAAGCATTGGGGTAACTGAGGAGTCTTAGTTTCTGGTGCAGCCCAGTTGTTTTTGGCCCAGGCTCAAAGGCCCTGCATGTTTATGTACAGATTTCAGGAGAACAGATGTCAAGGTTAATGACTTACACAAGTACTTGGGGAAAACCAAATATCAGTACCATACAGCAAAGAGATAGTGACAAATTCCCTTTGCAAACAAATTTGTGCTAAAAGATTGTCCTTTCCGCTTTCCCCAAGCCCTTATCACCATCCTGCTTTGGGACTTGGGCAGCTTCAATCACACCTCAGCACTTAAACCACTCCTACCACGGTCCCTCCTTGGGTGTTTTGATGGCACAAACAATTCAAATGCAGACAGAGCCTCCCCACGACACTGCTGCTGTCCTGAAGGAAAACCAGAACCAGAACGCTGGTGTCCGGAAGGGGGAAGAAGAGGAAAGTTCATCTTGCATGAATGTGAAAGTCAGAACAAAACGCAGCTTCTTCTCGGAGAAGGGTTGATTCTACCGGGTTATGAGGTGTAAAAAGTAGTGAACACTTGGGTTTGCACTACTCTTCACCTCAAACAAAATGACTGTCAGGGCGCAAATATCAGTTCTGAACAACTGACCTGAACAACAAGTTCAGTAACTTCTTGGAGGATTTGGGCTTTTTTAAAGCTAGACAGGATGACTTTGACTACAAAGAAAATATTTGTATATGTCACAGACATATTTGTAGAAAACTATAGCAAATTAATCAACACAGTGCTTCTACAGATGTGGTAGTTCTAGATATCTTATTGTCCTGGAACCCCCATGTGCAGCTGAAAGTTTTGTATGAGTTTAAGAAGAGATTTTATCAAGAAGGGAAAAGGGGAAAGGGGAAGGGGGACAGACATCAGCAACAGGAAAGTATTTACAAGAGATCATCAAAATATCCTATTTCATTTGTGGACATCATAGATAATATTACTATATCACCCTTCTGTTTCAAATTACTTTGCTTTTCATAATGTATGTTTAAGTTTATTTTAAGGTTGTTTTTCCTGACTTGGTTCTTCTATTTAGCCGAAATAGAATTAGACTATGGCATCACATGCAAGTGATGTACGTGATAAACTGAGATGGAAGACTGATTAAAACTGTTTTTGTTACACACATGATTTACACATGATTAACACATGATGTGTTAAACTTTTTTTTTAATTATTATTAAGGAATGTAAAGGCTGAAAAAAACACTTAATACACTTGTGACCTCCTAATTCTCAAACAAAATCAGGGCAAGCTAGACTTGATTTCTGAATATTCTTTGGGGAAACTGCTCCCTCTTTCCACCAACACTGGAATGTTCTTAATTCTTTTTAGTTGACTTCGTGTATCATAAAGTAAGATACAGTTTCTGTCCCTCTGCCTTTAGCCAAATCCACTTCCCACGTACCTCCAAAGTGATCCAGGAAATCTGTGGACAGCTTTGCTATTTGCATCCATATGTAAAAGGCAGCACTCCTTATAGTCCAGATCACAAAGCAGAATAGGGAGATCTCAAAAGAGCAGGAATGATGAGAGTGGGCTTCAAGTTGAGGGTGCTCCCTTGCTCAATGCAAGTCAAGAAAACCCTTTTTCTAACCACCTGTAGCCTGCTTAACCTCTTACCTGGGAATCCAGAGGACTATTTCTGCCTCCCAACATACACTGCTTTGGGAATAGAGGTACTGTGGGTATGATTGTATGTCTAACGAGCAGAATAAAACAGAGTGGCTCCTCTTCTCTGTCTCAAGGGCTTCTGCAAGCTTGTGAGAAGCCTTGCTCTGGGTCAGAAACACCAGGAGCTCTGTTGTGAAGGCAAGTGGGCAGTAATGCCAAAGAGTTAGACGGTGGAAGTTTACTAAGTAATTTTTCTGAGTTTTTCTGACAGCACTGTACTTGATGGGGCAGAACATCAGTAACGTTAATATTGAGGGTCAGAGTCTTTGGAAAGAGTTACATCAATACAAAAACAGTAAACAAAACCAAAAAAGAGATTACAAACGCAGACATCCCAAGGGACAAATGAAATCATGGCTTATGATGCTTTTAGAAACAAACAAAAAAAAAAAAAAAGAAAGAAAAAAGAAAGAGTCCTTCAATAGAAACTCAAATGTCCTGTCTCCCTTTATTTAACTAAGGCTTGCAGGCTAAAATACTAGTAATTTCATCTAAAACTAATGGAGTGTCTCAGTGAAAAGGGTGAGCTTTCTTCTTTTGCAGGCATGCTTCTGTAAAATTGTTGCCATATTCACTGCTCCAAGTTAAGCTTGCTGATGCAGGCAGCAAGCTCCCACTTGCAAACAGCAGCTGCAGAAGTTAGAGTGCTCCCTGGCCTAACAGTCATAGCAGAAATTTGGCACAGAAGTGTGGAAAAGATGACAGCAAAACAACCATGGCACAGAAAGGACTGACCTCCCTCCCGCTCCTGCCCCAAGATCACTGAGCAGGAAAGCACTTTAAGGATTTCCTCCATCTCCACAACATGAAATGCATTGAGTCCAGCTTGCACTGAGGCCCATTCTTTTGCTTTGCAAAGAGCAGAGCACTCTCTGTGCAGCTTAACTTGAATTTGGTCTGTTCTTAATTTCTCACCTGTCTCGTTGGCAAGTCATCAAACTGGAGTATGAGCCTGGTGTTGACGCTGTGACTCCACGTGTTGCCAAGTGCTGCTGTCACACTACCCGAATCCCTCTTCCCACATCCAGAGGCTCCTGAGGGTAGAATGGAAGGAAATTGCATTAGGACTGCACCATAAACATGGCTTTAGCAGGGAGCCTCTGATCAGTCATCTCAGATCATTCATTCAGCCAGCTTACCATAGTTTGCATTTAATGGATGATGCAACTGCATGAATTTCCTACCTTCCCAATGTACCAAACTAACTGCAGTGTGAGTCCTCCTCCATCTCACTCTGATACATAGTCAAAATGCCAAGGATTAAGGATCTGCTACAGAGAAGAACCTGCCTTCTTAGAGAGACCAATATATTTTCCTAAATACCTGGAGGTGCAGGCATACAAGGGAGACACTTCTCTTGCCTGCTACAAACATAAACATCCATATAAACTAGCTTTCTATGCGTCCAAAGGACAGGGAAGCAGGCCTGAAATAACGAGAAAGGAAGTTACAGGAGCAGAGCATGGTGCCACGATGGCACGACCTACAAACCTGAATGCTGTTCTATGGGAGAAGACCCTCACATCTTTTCAAGAATTTCTGAAGGGATGAAAACACCCTTTTATGTATGAATGTCACGTTAGTGCCTTCTCAATCATCTGAATTTTACATAATTCTGACTCTCAAAAGGTAGTTTGCTGTGATAAGCAATGATATTGTAAGAAAAAATGTTTCCAATAACACAGCATGATGAAGCTTGCTAAACTGCCATTTCATCTGAATTCTCTCGAAGCAGCATATATAAATACCTCTAGACACACATTTACATACATACAAGCAGAGAGAAAGCAAGACCTCACCTTTACTTATCCCACAAGCCTTGTGTGAAATGGACAGACAGACAATTGACTTGTTTTATTCCAAGAAAAGTCAGACAAATAAAAAACAAAAAAAAAATAAAAAGAAGGAAAAAAATCCAAACTGATGATGTACAAGTTGAAAATTGAACTGTCTGAAACAGTTGGTCCAAAATGTTAAAAAGCTACAAGAATTGGCCTGAAGTTGAATGAGAGAAAAATAGACTGAAAGTCAGGAAACTTCCTGTCATCTTTCAGGCAACAGAATTGCTTCCCCAGAACAGCCATGAAATTCCTGTCAACTGAGTCAATTAAAATTGGATTTGACAAGACCCTGAGAAAACACAGTGGGAAAGAATACTAAAGTGGAAAAAAAGTAGATTACATAGAATGCTAGTTCTTTCATTCCTTAACTTCTACACTTCATAAGCAAATAGTCAAGACCTCCTTTGGAAAAATGTGGCCAGTCACAGAACTGGAAGAACAATTTCACCTTGCCATGAGAAAGCTGATGTTTCAAATTGCAAACACAGCCTGGAGAAGATAAAAGGGAATTGCACTTACTCTGCAACACAAAATTCAGAGCTTATTCAAGTCTCATATTTCTGACAAAATGATCAGGGGTGCAACTGCTAATGTAAATTTTAAGTACCACACTTTAGAAGTAATACCATATTTAGATGACAAACTCATCTCATGCCCCATCAAAGCTACTGAAAAAATCAGGTTTACAAACCTTCACTGCCACCGCACATATGGCAAGTTTGTGGGGTTTTTATTTTATTGTTTTTTCAAATAACTATCCAGGAGAGACAGTGACAAGGATATTTATTGTATTAGATGGCATGAGGCAAAGGAGAGCAACAGACTTCAGAGAACAGCCTGGAAATAGTTCTAGTGCACTGAGGGACTCATCTGAAGACCTTGAAAAAAAACCCACAACACAATAATTTAATGTTCTCTTGACATCCACTGGATTTGGATGAGGTCTTTAACTGTTCAAGGTCCACAAAAGAAATTTATGACCATTTGGTTTAAGCTAATAGCTTGATAGGAGTCTTGTCTCAGCCCTTGTCTGGATTAATTCCCACATCACAGCAGCTCCCAGTGATGTGCACAATGGCCACTTTTCCAGAACCAAATCAGTTCTAGTTTGAAGACAGCCTACAACTGTGCTCCGCAGCACAGACAGTTTTGCTTTCCCTTGCTCATAACAATAGGATTAATATGTTGATAAACATCAAACTTCCTGCTAATTAACTAACTCCAGAAGCAGCAAATTGGAAGTTTCAGTATCAGGAATACTAGTCATAATGAGCCTAACCAACCTGTACTGGGAATGCAGATGTGCTGACAGTGACAATTTTTTTCATCTATCTTTGCAATTTAACCTCCCAGCTGCAGGAGGGATTGAATTCAAGCGTTTCAAGTTTGTACTACATTGCCTGTTCTGTCATATCCCCAACAATGACTTAAATCAAGTTAATTAAGTAACTTCATTACATTCATTTCGGAAAAAACTTATACCACCAAAGTAAAATGTTATTTCTATACAAACAGGCTGAAAAGAGAATTATAGAAAGAGAAGCAGCTTTACAGTTTTGCACTCTTCACTTCATCCTGTGGAATAAACTCCAAGTTTCTTCTGTAATCCACATTGTCCTTTTTTATCCACCTGCTAGAAATGGGTAGGAATGAGGAAATTCCAGTGAGGAGGGTAAATGTTGAGTTCTGGTGAGTACAGAAGTGTTCACCTCGCAGCTTCTGTAATGGGATGCTTGTTGGCGGTGGGAAGGCACCGCGCCCCACCACTTGGAAGTGATCTACCCACCCATTTGGGGTCCTTCGACTACAGACAAAATCCCAGACATCCCAGAAGTGGCTCATGTTGGCTTACAACAGCTGCAAAATTCATATCCAAACTTCCCGGAAATTTTTTCCCTCTGCTATTAACTAACAGAAAGACTAAGATCGTGCTGTTGCAATACGCAGCGGGGCAGTTAAGCAGTTAAATGTCCAGAGCCTGGCGATAAAGATGAGATATCACTCCATACTAATTCCTAATTCTGCATTCCTTGCAGGCCTAAAATCTCTACCCAAGTGAACAGAAGCACTAGAGGCACAAGGTTTGTGGCAAAACAAGCAGGCTAATTGCTGTAGATTTATTTTATTTTACTTTATTATAAAGGAGCAAGCTGACTGTACCACTCTGTGTCAGGCCCGGTTTGAAGAGGGCTGTTTGTGTGACCCACTTTCAGGCAAATCCTCTTCCGTGAAGGTACTCAAATTTATGACTCCAGTGCAAACTGGTTAGCAAGCATGGAGCAAATTTGCAGTGAAGACTTTTTTACAGGGTAAAAAGGAATGCCTCACATGAGAGGTTTCCATTTTATAAGGGATTGTCCTGCAATCTGATACATTAGGCAGACAGAGAAGTAAAGCAGCAAGAAATGAACAGCACTGGGAGTGAAGGAGCGCCAGCTTTGCAGAGAAGTTCAAGGCCAGGGACAGCACATGCTTCATTCCTTCTCCCTGCTCCAAACACAAAAAGATAGCGAATGTCTCAGGGGAAAAAAAGAGGATGGAAGGAGGATATATTAAAATGGATTTATGTTCAAACATACTCTTACAAAAATAGCTTTTCTGTTATTTCAAATACTACCCAGCCATTAATGAACTAGACAGAGGAAGGAGATAAGTAATACTGTTCAAAACAGAGTGATTTTTTCTGCATGCTTTGTCTCCTTTTCCTGACCGTCATATTTTCATATTCAGAGAGGGGAGTACTGGCCCAACCTTGGCCCACAAGGAACACCAAACAGGCTCAGAAGGGACTTGTGCATCTGCTCAGAGGTCCCTTAGCTGTCCCCACAACTGCTTCAGAGCAGTATGGAGTAACAGCTCCCAACTGCGGGATGCAGGTGCTGACCTGTGAGCACTTAATGTGCCACCAGCTGCCAGGCAGCAGCTCCTGTCCCTCAGCCTCTCCCCACACAGCTGTGTGCCAGCCAGGTTTATCCCTTCTGCTCTGGACACGGGCAGGGTGGGGAGCACAGGGAATAGGGAGAGGAGGAAAGAGGCCTGACAGACAGACGAGCAGAAGGTGCTGGCCACTGGTTTGTGCACGGAGGATGTGCCGGTAGGTGGAAATGGGCATGGGCAAGAGGCACAGGGATGGGATCCTCATGTCGGGAGGTGAAGGGATGCCAGAAGGGATGGGAAAATCTTTAACAGCCCCCTGCTTCATTTATTCAGATCCAGCTCAAGTAAAATGAGCCATCAAGGGGCACTTGCTGCCAAGCAGGCAGATCAAGGACCTGCTTCTGCCCTAGGCTAGACTCAGTGTTCTGGATCAAATACACTAAGCTTCATGAAACATCTTTAGAAGTAAAGAGTCCCTGCAGTAGGATTATGTTCTTGATTTTTAAAAAACAGATTTGTTGCTTGTTGCTATAACTGCCCAGAGCAGTGAGTTCCTCCCTTTCCACCTCTTCAGACAGCTTTTTGCCTTTCCAGGTAAGGGAGGCCTGGCCTGACAGGCTCATCCCCACCACTGGGCCCCTTTGCAGTCTGCATCAAGTCAGCAAGTCAAAAATCTCTCTCAAAATGAAAAGGGATGGCTGCACATCACAGTGAAAGAGCAAGAAGGAGAGGCTAGCGGCCCCCAAAACTTTCAGATCTTCCCAACAGCAAATCATCTTGACAACAGCACATTTACCAAAAAGGAGAAGAAAAAAAAAGCTCCAAAAGTACAGACAAAATATTTATGCAGAATTGGCCTAGTGAGCTGAACCAAAATAGGAGAGCAGGCAGTCAGGAGGAAAGTCCTCTCCCTCTTGCTCTCAGGCTGTGCAGTTCTCACACAGGAGCTCTGCTTCACTGGCAGAGCACATAAAACCCACCACTTTTCACCTGCACTGTGCATTTTTGGCACGCGGCACTAACAATGACACCGGAATTTAAAAAACAAGAAAAAAACTGAAAACCCCAGCACCCCAAAGCTATTTTTTCCATCTTCACCTACTCAGAAAGTACAAGCCTAAATATAACTAATAGTGGAAAAACCCATCGCAGTACAAAAGTACGCACCGGACACTCATCTGTGAAGTAACTCACCACAGTGCCCTTCAACTCCTGCTCACTCCCCTCTGCCGCTTTTGGCCATATATTCTTGTCACTCTTGTCATGTATTCTCCATCCTTGGCATTGAGAAAGCTAAGAGACCATGAGTGAGGATA